CCAGGGCCGCTTCCTACCGGAGCAGGGAACAAGCCGGGATGTGATGCCGTCCACCCCGCGTCACGCCGAACCTCAGCATGGTTCCAGTGGGGATCGCATGGGACCTCACAGCAAATAAACTGCTCTTGGCATCTCCCCAGATGGAGGAAGGAATGAGTTCTCCAGCCCTGGCTGTGGAGACACCTCCCGTGCCCACCTTTTCCACACAGCTAAGGATGGAGGGGCCACGGAAGGGCCACAGAAGCCAGTAGCAGTGAATAGGCACGAAGCCAGGAAAAGTCAGGAACACACGATTGCTTTGTTCCATTCCTTTTGCCGCTGGATCTCAGATGTGCTAAACATCTAAGGACACAGACCGCGATAAGAAAAACCCAAATGTCGCATTTCAGCACTGAGCCGGGCAGGGAGCTTCTTGGAGACAAAAGGGCAGCAGATCTCTCCTCCCGAGGCACCGGGGAGCACCGTGTCCCATCACTCGTCCTTACTGCCCGGCTTGTGCTACAGAGACACAAGCAAAACCGTGCGTCCTGGCAGGGGCAGCAGAGCAGACCGGGTTGCACGGTGAGTTTCTGCCATGCCCAGCTCTCCGGGGGTGGCAGCAATGGGCTGGTGCAGTTTTCACCTTACCCAGAAAAGCGACAATGTCAAGGCCAGCCCAGGGCTTGCGTGTTTGCCCTCCCTTCTTTACTCCTCCTGTTCTTTTTTTGTGTACTAGATGTCCAAAATAAAGAGAAAACACAACTATTAGGCATGGCAATGCTAGCCCTGCATTCAGCAATATGTATTAAAAAGGGGGTTGTTACACTGTGATTGGTTTTAAGAAGTCTTTCCCGTTTCCATTAGTTTGTGGATGCTTTGGAGGCAGGTTGTGGAAGATGGCAGAGGATGATTAAGATGGGTTTTTACTCCTCCAGAGCACTCCAAGTAGCTTGCAGCTACAGCAGAGGCAAATGAAGCTATTGCGAATTTTCCAGAGCAGTTGGTTACATTAGTCATGTGCTTGCTTTGCTCTGGGAACAGGAATCAGAATACAGCAGCACTATTCCGGCTGCTTATTTTTAACATACTCACGTGTGTAGACACCCACACGGCTGCTCGCGCTCTTCTGCAGCTTGCAGAGGTGCTGGTTGCCAGCCTCCCCCGAGGATTTGCTCTCCACACTGACTTTGCTGGCCACATCCAGGGAGGAAGCTGCCTCGGGCCGGGCTCCGAGCGCTGCACGGAAACAAGCGGCACTGATTGGGAAACGCTCCGGGTTTCGCGTGGCCGAGGAGGAAGCTTGGCACTCCTCTAAAATGAACACTGCCACAATCATTTTTTTCCTCCAGCAAACAAACAAGCAGAAGGCCTGCAGTGCTATTATCCTTGCCCATAAAAACACTTCCAATTTGATACTTCCTGGACTGCATATTGGTTGGCCCGTGGCATCAGGGATGAGCTTCAGCACTGCTGCGAGTACTTTTGGAGGGTTATTGATGAGTTTTATGGCAGCAGAAGGCAAGGAACCAATTAAGAGTAACATGCGTGCCAACCTTTGGGCGGATTTGAGACCCAGATGTGAGGAAAGGTTGTATTGATGCCCCAAGCACTCCCTGCTGCCCCTGCTGGGGCTTCCTGACGGGTGGCAGATCTGGGCCCTCCCAGGAGGGCAGAAGACACAGCTGGGAGGACTACAGAGCAACACGGCCATGCGTCGCCAGGTCTAGCAAAACAGGAGCCGCCTCTTGCCCTCGAACACTGAGAAACAGTTATTTTGTTTTGGCAGCTAGTCCACACTTGTAGGACCAAATAAAACTGACCTGTAAAGAGGATGAGGCTCCTGGGCCAGCAGTAAGTTATACCAACCATAGCAAATAAGGCAAGGAACTAGCAAAGAGGCAGCTCGAGTTCTCTTATCACCTCCGCTAGCGCCTTGCTAAAGGAGTGGAGCTTGCTGCTGTGCTGGTGGAGGATCTTGGGGACACAGGGTTAAGTTGTTGGTGGGAATTCCTGCGTACCTGGCCAAAGCTTCCCACTGCAAAACCATCCGGAGCGCTCCCAGATAAGGGGCAATGGGCTCTGTGGCAGCAGCCTCTGCGCAGCGTCCAGCATCCTGACGTGGCTCGTGCTTTGCTTAGACTTTGTGCTGTTTAACCGGCTGCGTTCACCTACTGATCCTGGAGAGAGGTGATGAGACATCAATAGCAGTGCATGAAGCTGTATCAGCTCCCCCCCGACCTTGTCTCCTCGCATGAGGAGCAGTTCTGAAAAACATCCAGTTTTGACACCGGCGGGATGCATGAAAACACAGGAAAAACAACCAAGGTGAGACTCGGTGAGCAATGGTCCCGGGTGTGGGATACGAACCCCGCGTCAAGGCAGGCGCCCGCTCTGCAGCGGAGCTCACGGATGTGTAAACGGCTCTGCCGAAAACGCGTCATCGCTGCCTCATGGAAAACCGTGCGGCTGGGAGCGGGAGCAGGGAGCGGGCAGGGGGCAGCAGACACCGCGCTGCTCGCTCCAGGCAAGCTCTCCAGATGTCTTTCATCAGAAACTGTTAAACAGACCTGTTCATTTTTTAAACGGCACTTATTCAAAGAAGACAAAACTATTTACTTCAGACTTGCTCTCCTTATACCGCAAAACACGAATCCTTAAAGAAGGCTCATTTTTCCTTTAACTCAGCAAAAGAATCCTAATAACTCTCCCCCCTCCATCAAATGCCATCTTAAACAGATGCATATTAATTACTCTGGTTTTAGCAAAACTGTTACCCATTAGTTCTAAAAAAACCCAACCAACCAAAGATATTTTCCAATGAATTATTGTGACAACCATAGCTCTGCACTGTATCATTACTCCAGACTAGCAGCATCAGCCCAAGATTACCAACTGTAGCAGCCCCAAACTCCGAGTGACACCACGGGGCCATGTGCAGCAGCCCTCCTGGTCTTGATCCCAAGGAAGACGTGCTCAAGCACAAGGCTTGCGAAACAGTTCCAATTCCAAAGTGGAACATTGCCATTCTCTTTTAACTATTCACTAGTATATCCAGAGCGACGCTACGTTTCTATCAGCTAGTTCTTCTGAGATAGTTCCCTGCTATGTTGTGCAGATACTACCTTCTAATTTAGCTTTCTGTGGAAGTTTTAATAGCCATCATCTAAATAGAAGTCAGTTCATAGAATCATAGAATGCTTAAGGTTGGAAGGGACCTCTAGGGATCACCTAGTCCAACCCCCCTGCACACGCAGGGTCACCTAGAGCACGTGGCACAGGGCTGCGTCCAAGCGGGTTTGAAGATCTCCAGAGAAGGAGACTCCACAACCTCTCTGGGCAGCCTGTTCCAGTGCTCTGGCACCCTCACTGCTAAAAAATTTTTCCTTAAGTTCAATTAAAATTAATTTCCCTTTGTATAAGAATAGTGCATTGCACACAGAACCAGACTGGCCGAGCCCTACCTTACAGATCTGACTTCACACCAGTAAAACGCACATTGGCAGGGCGTTATGGGCAGCCTCCCCAGCTGCCGCTCGGGTCAGTGCCGCCGCGGGCTCCCCCCCCGCATCCCGCCTGCTCCTCCCTCCGCACCCCGCTGGTTCCCGGGGACTCTCCACGTCTCCCGGGCCTGGCCGGGACTGTGCCTGGCGCTGGGGGCACCGACTCCTTTTGGTTAACACCAGCCGTTCCCTCATCCTCAGGGATCCCGTCCATCTCGCCTCGGGTTGCACCGCGCGGCAGAGGACTCGGGATGGCAGCGCAGCTCCGGCACGGGAGGCTCAGGGACCTGTGGGAGATCATCTCCTATTAAAAACAAACCAAAACGTCCAGTTATAGAGCCTTGTATCAACCTGGCAAATGCACAAATTACTTCGACAAGTAGTTTTAAGTATGAATCAGGAGAGAAAAATGCAGAGCATTTCAGTCTGTATAGAGCATTCGGGCAGCACACGTTCGAGTTTCTGAAATCATAAATGAGCTTTTCTGTCTTGTTGAATCAAAAAGCACTAAAGCTCCAGCTCCAAATGGGGCTGGAGTGTGTTCCCTTGGTACACACTACAAGCAGAGCTAACAGACCCCTTGTATTTGGGTAGGGAGACTGATTTACCTTTTGAACCTCTTCTAGGAGCCTGGTTGGTGTGTGCCATACAGAGCACAGAACGTTAGTCCCATTAAGGCTCACATGTAAAAGGAAAAAAACCAGCTGCCTGTCTGCTGTCCATGCTACAAGAAGACCTGAGTTCCTTAAGCTCCATGTCCCCTCCTCCCCAGTGACCAAGTCCTGAAGATGATGTCAACCTTACAGGACTGACCCCGGCACCAATAAATGGAGGTGAGAAAAGGCAAAAGGGAAAACCAAGGCCAGCTCAAAAGTGCATTGGGAAGATGACTTGTTGGTCAGGTGAAATAAGAGCAAACAGCCCAATTACAACATGCAAGGAGAGCTTTAATCATTCACAGAACCGCAGAGATCTCAGGAGCTGTGTAACACATACAGGCAACCTTAACTTCCATCACAGAAAAAAAAAAAGTATATGCATTTGGTAGACAAGTCAATCTTTTCTTCCCCAAAATGCAAGTGCCTGAAGAATCATATTTATGCTCATTTGCAATGCAGATACCCAGCATTGCTAAAGATTTGCTCTTGTCAACATATTTCTCAACAAATTCGAATGTATATAAATAAGATGATTTTTTCCCAGGTAACACAATCTGCAGGTACTTAAAAACTAGCAGGTATTCACAGAAATAAATATAACTAAGTTTTAAACATCAAGATTGTTCTCTTTTGTAAAGTTCTTGCTTTAAAAATTTGTAATCACGTGTAATGACTAACACTGAATGCTTATTTTAAAAGCAATAAAACAACATGCAAGAAGCCATTCTCTTTCAAACCAATGCAAAGCAACCCTGCTGATGTTTCCCAGGAAGGACACGTCCCCGTAAGGCATGGATCCACCCAGGCTGCTAGCACACGTACAGTCCATGCTCCCATTGCACCACGCAGCAGCGCGAGTCCAGCCGCTCAAAGCCCATCACATTACGGAGCACTGCCCTCTGAGTTTGTCTTTCTTTTTCTGCTGCTTGGATTTCTTTCCATCCACTTGCAGACTGACAGTTCTTCTCTTCTCGAGGTTCAGGAGCTCCTGGAAAAGCTCCTGGACGTTGTAGTTCATTTTGGCCGAGGTCTCCATGAAGGAACACTTCCACTTGCCGGCTAAGGCTTCCCCTTCAACAGCATCCAGCTCCCTCTGGCTCTCATCGCTCTTGTTACCAACCAGCATTATGGGGGTTTTTCGGATATCCCCCTTAATCTGGCATATCTGCTCATAGATGGGCTGGAGCTCTTCCATGGACTGCCTGCTGGTGACGGAGTACACCAGGATGAAGGCGTGTCCCTTGGATATGGAGAGCCTCTGCATCGCCGGGAACTGGTGGCTTCCCGCCGTGTCGGTGATCTGGAGGGTGCAGACGCTCTTGTCACAGCTGATCACCTGCCGGTAGGTGTCTTCCACCGTGGGCACGTAGGCCTCCCGGAAGGTCCCCCTCACAAAGCGAAGCACCAAGGAGCTTTTGCCAACCCCGGCCGCTCCAAACACGACCACCCGGTAATCGTTGCTCGGCTCGGGCATGCTTGCTGTGCCGCGACACCAGGTTGGAACTGGAAATGCCCAGGTCTGGGTTTACGCTCCCCTCTACAGAGACAGCCTGGGGGGAAGGAGCGGGGAACAGAAGGGAGGAAGAGAAGGAGGTGAAGAAAAAAAAAAGAGTCATGCACTAAATTCACAACATGCCATTTCAATAAGTAATTAAGCCACTCAGTGCCCACCCATCCCTTTAAGGTGCGCTGAAGAGAAATGAAATCACGGAGCTCCCCAGCCTGTGCAGCGAGGGCCG